TTTATTTCCATGTTTGATAGGTCGGGCTGTGCCTGAGGCACAAGGGGACACCCACCCGCTCCAGGTAGATGTATGCATTAGGGATGCAATAATATGATATATTATCTACAAGATAATGTTACAGAGCAATAATAATAAATTATTATATATAATGTAGTGTTATAGATACTATATCTGATATTAGTGTTACAGATATTATATCTTATATTAGTATTTCCCTTTGCATTATATACTAGTCTTTTAAAGCAGAATGCTCAGGGTTCTGTTGAACAAAGTGGGCCCCAAATTGGAAAGAGAGATTCTTTCAAGATATTTAGAGGCAAGAGACAGAACATATGCTCTTTTTCCAAATATCCCCCATGAAACAGAGGAAGAGAGATTTTGTAGTGAGATGCTTCAGACATATAAATCTCCAGCACTTCTAAATAATACTCCATTTACTGGATTTTTTCTTTAAACTTTCATGCAAAATGGGCAATGGAAAATATGTAGGAGCAGAAGGGTTTGTAAAATCGGACTGTTAGATGCTATGAACATAGTTTCGTAGAAAAGCAGATGCAAAAGATTAGATACAAAGGAAGAAAAACTTGTTCATCAAATACGTGGTAAAACTTGTGTGCAGTCTTAAGAGGTGTCAACGTTTGCTTTCCAAATCTGTAGCACTACTGATGTGGCCTGAAGCTTGGGGAGCTTGGGGTGCAGCAGCAGATGGTTTATTTGTGTGCTTCGTGGGGAGGCATTGCCCCCCGGAGCAGAGCGCCCGGGGAGCGCGCTGCCACGGCTCGGCGCGTGCCATTGCTGCGTCTGATCTTCATTAAGTTTCCAGCTTCAGCTGATGAAGTACAGATGTGAGCGGCTTTCCAAGGAGGAGAAAAGGAGGAGGAGGGGAAGAACCGGAAATTCCCAGAGCATGAGCTGGGGGCAGGGTAAATCATTACTTGGCATTTTATATGCGACAGCGGGGCCAGGCCTGGAAAGAAGAGTTGCTGCCTTTTAGGGATGTAAGGACAGATTTGTCCTTCTTGCTACACTAACAGCTTTTGAGAAAGAAACCGTGGTTTTGCTTGGGATTTAAGTGAGCCTGTGCTGCATCTCCTGTGTCTTGTTCCTTAACCTGACCTGCATTAATTTGCCCACATTCCCGACGGGCAGCCAGACTGATGAGCAGACCTCTTGCTCTGGTGCTGGCGATGCCCGTCTGCCAGGGAGGTTGTGCTGTCCTGAGGCTGAGGCTGGTCCTGAGACACAGAAACATGGAAATGCATTGCTGATGCTTCTCAAATTGATCTTTTCTAAACCCACCCCTTGCCTGCAGGCCTGCCTGCTCCTGCTAGCGAGCCTGCTGGGTGCTTTGAGCCGAATAGTTTTGCAAGGGAAATGTCTGAAAAAGAATTTGGCGTCATAAGAAGTGTCTGTTCTTTCTGATCAGCCATGGTGGGGAGAGGCTGGACGTGTCTTTTTAGGGCGAAAGTAAAACTGAGGCTCTGACTAAAGGGCCGCTGGTCTTTCTGCAGGAGCTGTGGTGGGTTGGTCCCGGTGTCCTGGCGCAGGGTTGGGAGCAGGGTCTGCTGCGTTGTCCCCGCTGGTTTCAGTGAGACACAGTCTGTGCCGCTGCCCGGCCGAGGCCCGGTCGCGAGGCTCTGTGGTGGCCAACAGCTCTGCACTTTGTGCCTCTGTTGGGCAGTGAGACCTCTCATGTAGTGTGTGGTAGTTTATTTTTGTAAAATACTTCAGATCTTTTGCATTTCATGGGGTGGTGTTACTCTGGTACCTTTCTAGTTTTTAAATAAGATATAATAAACAATATACTAAAATAATAAATACAAATATATTAATATCATAAATTCATATGAAGATGGTCTTTGCAAGCAAATGGTACGTTGCTACATCAGAAATACTCGTATACCTTAGCAGCAGTATGTGGAGTGTGGTGCTAAAATTAATGGTCTCTCAAAGCAGAAACAGTTTTCTAATATTTTGCTGCAGGAAGAAAATTGAAATAATACGTGTATGTACCTTACAGAGCAGCGTCCTTCTTGTGAGGGACATGTCTGCTGGAGAGAACCAGCCTCTGCTGCAGCTCCACACGGACATGAGGAGGTTTGTCTGTGGGCTCTCTCCTGTGCAGCGGCTGGCAAAGCCACCCTTCGCTCCAGGGGGAGATTGGGAACTCCTCTGTGCAGGGCCAGGGTTGATAGACGACTCATTCCTTCAAGCACTTCTGGAGGGCAGAGGCAGAAGGGGTGATCAGAGGGAGGCAATGCTTTTACATTTCATAGGTGTTTGTGCTGGTGAGCTGCTCTCAGCCTGTATCTTGCTTTGGCCTTAGTGCTGGGTAAGCCCGTGCAAGCACTGCTCTGCCATGAACAGTTCCAAATTCATTGTCTTTGGTCTGGTTTGACCACAGTGCTGAATTCTGATGTGTGCTCACCGTCTGCCCAGCTGGGACCGTTGGGAAGGCGGTGCTTGCCAAAATAAAACCAAATGCAGACCACATCAGCTGGAGATGTTTCTTCCTCGGCATTTGCTGCACCCAAGCGGTACCCGATTGCTGGAGCCTCTCAGGTTAGTTCTGTAAATGGTTCGGAGTGGAGGAGAAAGAGGTGGGCTGGCAAAGCTCTGGCTCCTGGGGGCAGAGGTGTATCTGGGTGGTCCACGCTGTACGGCTGGCATGGGTGCTGGGGGCAGGCTGTGCGTGGGGAAGGAGCTGCCGGAGAGGAATCCCCGGGGCAGCAGCTCCCACTGAGTTTTGAAGCTGGCAGGAGCCACTGCCATTTAGGAAAGCATAACGCAGCCAAAAGAGGATGAGTAGCATCTTCTAAGTCCTGCTGTGTGTCTCTGTTATCTTTTAATTTTGTACTTTAAAATATACTATTATTTGGTCTATTTCCTTTCAGAAGTTTCCACTCCCTGTAGTCTAATTAAGTTTTCTCATCCGTTTGTCTGTTCAAGCCCATGAACTCTCATCTTCTGGCACTGAGGGAATTGCAAGCTGTCAAGGCTTTGAAAAATGAAGATTTTGATTTCCTTTCAGAAACTTGCTGTTAGTCACTCTGACAAAGCACAGCACAGGCATGTGTTCCTTCACTCAGAGTGCAATGGCTATTGGCAACTTCTTCTGGCATGCTACAGATTTTGGAAAATACATTTCTTTTCCTTGTGCGTAGTGAAGCGCAATCATGCCCACGTGCACAAGATTTGACATCTTTTACTAATGACAGAACCACTGTCCTTGTTGATCAAAGCCAGGTGACAATAACATGACCTAAATGTTCTTTAAAGGTGATTTTCCTGCTTTTTCCAGTTCCAGATACAGGCAGTGGCTGGAATAAAAAAGAAACCAATTCCAACTTTTCAAAAATTATGAAGGTCACATCTTTTGCTGATATAAGTCAGCGTTTCTATATTATGTGGCGATGCATAGACTTACACTCAGAAGGATCTAGCACTGAAGTTTATGTAAGGCCTTTCCAGTTCAGAAATTACTGCACTCTGTTTCTGGGTTCTTTTTGGCCTCCCAGTCTGGGGGACTTGGATGTGTCAGAGCAGAACATGAGAGGAGGCTGCATTTGAACTACATTCAGCATGGACATGCAAATGTAAACAACTCAGTAAAATATTCAGACATGCATTTTTGCTTTTTTAAGCAAACAAAACTTCTGAACTCTCTGAAATTTGCCCTGATTTATCACTTCCGATCCTATTTTTTCTCTGTACTGTTTGGCCTTAATGAAATTTATGTCAATATTTACGTTGATTACTACATGAAAACTTTATATCAGTTGTAGTTGCAAATACAGGTTGATCGAATTGTAAAGTAAATTAGGAAAAGCATTTTTTCTCTGCCTTTGTTTACTGTATGTATTTGACAGCATGTTGTGTCTCATCTGCTTCCCGGTTAGTCACTTTCCCCTGTTTGTGCAGGGCTTTCCCACAGCAACTGAGAAGAGCAAAACATTTTAATCATAGGAAAACTGGAAGGGGATTTGCTTCCAGATGCAGGACTTGGAAATGTCATTCAGCTCTTTTTTGTTTTTCTTTTTATTCCTTGCTTTTATCATTTAGATACCTATTTTGTGCTGTGGTGGTGCCTAAGAACTGTGTGGACCGTACCTTCACTGAGGGCCACACACTGAAAAAACACACAACCACCATCTTTTGAATGTTTATGGTTTCTGTTAGTCAAACATACTGCATTTTATCCTGAAGATCCTCAAATGTAAATAGAACCTGTGAAAATCTTTGTGTGTCACCCCACGTAATGGTCACCTGCGTTGCAGTCCTTGTGTTGAGCAATGCTGCCTGCTGAGACCTGACGTTCCTGGGTGGGAGCACGGTGCTCAGCCAGTCCCTGCCTCTGTCGTAGCGGAGGAGTTTGCAACGTTAAGTGTGAGCTCTTAGCCCCGAGTTCTCATTCTGAGCATTGCAAAGCTTTTCTTTGTGCCATTTTTTATGCAGGTTTTAAATTAGAACATGACGGTTTAGTCAGTTGTTTCTGACACATCACTCCCTGTCACTGAGTGCAACTCTTAGGCTCCTAATAGCTGTTCCACGTTTGAACTACGCATGACAATAGTGGGATGTTTCCAGTGTAAGGTTTATGTATGTAAGACTTCTCTTACAGTATTTCTTTTGAATTCTGAGGGTATTGTAAATGTCTATATGTTGCAGCTACAGCAAGAATCACGGTGATGAGTGCATGATAGAGGTTTATATACGTGCAAACGTAGCTGCATTTGTTTCAACATTGGTGTAGAACAAACCCCACAATATTTCCTTAAAGCTTCAGCTCCAGAACTAAACTTTATGTCTGAGGCCTTTCTGTTCCTCTTCGATCTTCATGCAGCAGCTGGAGTCTCTTTGTTACATCCAGCAAGTGTCCAGTGTACTAATGCTTTTTCCGTTCACACCCTCCTCTTTCCTCACATCTTACCTGCTTAGTACCCAAGCCTTGAAGGTGACACCATAAAAGCTCTCCTTTTCTTTCCCGTTTCTCACAGTGAGGCTGTCTGGGAGAGCATGGCTCGCATGTGTGTGAAGACTCAGAGGCTCGATGTTGCCAAAGTTTGCCTTGGAAACATGGGTCACGCAAGAGGAGCCAAGGCGTTGAGGGAGGCTGAGCAAGAACCAGAGCAGGAGGCCAGAGTGGCTGTGCTGGCCATTCAGCTGGGCATGCTGGTAAACCCACCAACCATACACATCCAGGAAGAGCCACCCCGCTTAACTAGGGACAAAAATGAGAAACTGGTCATTTTTAAAAAATTCTGAGATGAGAAAAACCTTGAAGAGGAGTGAAATCTATTGTTGGGTTTCCAGGAAGTGATGAAGAATAGTTCTGACAATTATTTTCCTGAAGTTGAGTTTTTTCCTAGGGAAATGGGCATCTCCTTCAGCACTGCACAATCCCATGCTGCACGATTCCTGCGTGACACTCATCAGGGGATTTCCCTAAACTCCAGAGGCTCAGCAGTCCCCTGAGCCCTTTTTGTGTTCCTCAAAGAGTACATGGGAGTGAGCGTGGCAGAATCTGATGCCTGCAAACAAGAGTATCAAGAGCCATAGCCACCTAAGGGCATAGCAAATTAATTTGTCTGTTTTCTTAACTACTGTACATCTTTTAAGGATGATTTATATGTGAAACAACAGAAAAACTGTTTTCTTGGGGCATAATTCTTCCAAGCTTAATCATTCCAGGTTTGACTGGATTAAAAGAATAGGATGTACTTTAAAGTTTTCTAGTTAAACGTTTCAACAAACATATTTTAAGGTCCAATATGGAAGATGTATGTTCCATTTTGACATGTTTGTTTGTAGAGTGAAAGGCTAAAGCTGCGTTCTGCCAGAGTGAGGGCTGGCTTAAGGCAGTTAAACAGTTCAGGCAAAATTGATGTTTCCTGTGGGGCTGGAGAGCTCTGAGGAGTCACATTCGCTGCTTGCGCTGTCTCAAGGATGCCTGCTCTACTGCAGTCACCCAGATTTCCCTCCTGGCTTCTCCTGTCATGGGAGCAGTAACCTGCCTGGATCCCGCACAGCCAGGGGATGTGGTCAGGCTGTTCTCCCCGTAGTCTGGTGCACGGGGCCCCTTGTACCTCTATCTGGAGCCTGACCCGGCACCAAATACATACCAAAACAGACTTTGTCTTTCCCATGTGTCCTTACTGTAGGCTGAACCCACTCCCCTTGATTACCAATAGAACCGAGATCTAAAACGAGTTTGAGAGCAGCATTGTTGTGTGTATTGAAAACTGACCGGAGCGCTGTTCGGTTAGATGAATGATAAGAGCACGTATTCCACCCGGTTCACCTTTATTTAATGTGTCTTCATCAATGATCTGTAAGAAAAGCAAAGATTTTTACTTTGGGAACCATAAAAGATCCAGGCGTGTGATCTGTAAGAAAGAACTGGGAAAAGAGAACTGATGAAATACCCCACAGTTCATGGGAAATCACACATTAGATATAAAAATCGCAAGGTGCTATGACAGTAAAAATCTGTTTGAGGCTGTGTTAGAGGAGACAGCACATCCTGGGGTTTTCATTTGATAACTTCTGTCTATGTATTTGTTGCAGCTACAGCTGGAACACTGACTTCCACCCTTAAGAATCTCATTACCAGAAAAAAATGTTGATGAACTAGGAGCTCAGAGAAAATCAGTGCAAATTGTTAAGCTCTAAGAAAGATTTCACAGACAAGGGAATCTTTGAGATAGGCAAATAATTAGAATTTGGCTTAAAAAGGTGTTTAGCCATCTACAACTATTTTAAGACTATAAATGCCACAGGCTCTGGAGTAACTATCCTGAGGTAAAGTGAAGAAGGAAGATTCAAACTAAATGTTTAGGAAAGCTTCCTGGCAGAGAAAGTGATGAGGCCGAAAAGTGTCAGTACTGTTCTTGTGGAAATTTAGATCTATTTGGAAAGATGGAAGGGAACTGTAGCAAAATTAATGCAGTTCTGTTGCTTTTTTTTTTTCATCTCATACAGAATCATAATGCAGGCATCTCCCTTCTGTACTTTCTATGCTTTTTTAATTTGAAACAATAAGAGACAGAAACTATTTTTCTGTCTTGGACAGATAATCTCAATTTACTAAATATAGTGTTCAGCTGGACAGCAGTTGGGTGGAGCAGGAAAATGTTCCTTCCACAGGAGTACCTCGCAAATCATAAAAATAATAGTTCCAAATTTGCTCATCCTTGCGTCAGCATCGGCAAAATCCTCCTGTTCTAATTCTATCTTCAGTTAATAGCATTTATTCCCAGGAATGGATCTCGGTTACCCACGAACAGCATTGCTGCCTGTTGGTCGCAGAGTCCCCTGGCACATCAATGCCTTCTTGACAAAACCCCTAGTTTTGGCCTAGGACCTTCTCCTGGACCTCACCTCTAGTGGGTCTGTTGACTCTAGCCCCACATGAGTGTACCTCCCCTTTCTGAAATGGCTTATGCTCCTGATGACAGCATTTAATTGTTGATGGCTTGCTCATGTCACCCCCCGTTGATACTGTACAGTAAATGCCAGGATCTGAGTGCTTTCCTTATTTTCACATAAACATCCTGTTTCCAAGTAATGTGCTATTCCAGGCTTCTTATATTTAGTTGGTTAAACCCCCTGCCTGAATTATTGTTAGTTGAATTGCGTTACAGTGACCTGTGCTAATAAACTACTCTGAAGTGCCGTGGCTGTTGTGAAGGACACCTATGAAAGGCTGGTCAGAGCTAACGAGGTGTTTGTGTGCTCGGCTTCCAGGAGGATGCGGAGCGACTCTACAAGGCCTGCAAACGCTATGACCTCCTGAACGAGTTCTACCAAGCCTCAAACCAGTGGCAGAAAGCGATTGAAACAGCTGAAGCTCATGATCGGGTTCACCTGCGCACCACCTACTACAACTATGCTAAGCACCTGGAGGCAACTGGAGAGCAGAGTCTTGCACTCACCCAGTAAGCAGCAGCCTGTGGCACCCAGGGCGCCTGGAGCCTTGTTATCCTGTGAAGACTGGAGGGAGGCTGAGGGGGATGTCTGGTGATGACTACTAATTAATTGACGTCTTTTCCTGTTTCTGGTGGTTTCTATCTCGTGGAGTGAAGGCTTTGTGACAAAAAACTTCCCAGCACCCTTCCAGGCTAATAAAACTTAGTAGCAGAAAGGTGAAGTGTCTTATCAGGGCTAACATTTGAACCCCACTAATAACCAGTCCTGTACTTGTCTCTGGAAGACCACTGTCCTCCTTCCCTTCCTTTTCCATGACAAAACCACTTGTTTACTTCTCCTGACATGACTGCTATGGCAGAATTTTGTCTGACTTGGGTGCCTCTGGCACATGGTCCTCTCCTGTGACTAATGAGTCCCTAGAGAAGTTAGGGGATGTGATTTTTAACGTTGTATTTGTTGTTTGAAATCTTGGGTTTATGTGAGTTTTACCATATGAAGCCTCACAATATAACAACAACGATAATAATCTAAGGTCGCTTCTCTTCAGAGTCAAATTAGAGCTCTGATGTGATCAGACAGCCCCGTTAGGCGATCAAGGTGGGCAGGGAGGTGAGGAGACTCTAACAGAACCTGGTGGCAGAAGTGGAAAAGAAGCTGAAGTTGTGGTGGCCGAAGAACGAGGCAAGATGAGGAGTCCAGGCCTCTTGTGACCTTTTCAGCCAGTTGCACTAGGATGTGCCTGATGTTTGGGGAGCTTTCCAGGATATTTCTTTGGACCATCACCGGCATTTTTAAAGTATTTACTGTCCTGTGATCACACTGACTCCTTGATTCCAGGTGCTTTGCCAGACCATTGCGCTTTTTGTTTTTGGATGGTGCTGGCAGACTGTAACTGGTCTTAACAGGGAACTTGATAATACAAATGAAGCAATGGGATCAGTGTTGTGGCTCTGTGGCTGTTAAACAACAAAAATAGATGGATTTTGTTACACAGGAAGTGAGCTAACACGAAGGCAGACATTTCACATCTAGTATGTTCTTTTTCCCTACAGCTATGAGAAGTCAGACACGCACAGGTTCGAGGTACCCCGAATGCTCTCTGAAGACTTACAAGCCCTGGAGAACTACATCAACAAGATGAAAGACAAGTCAGTGCTATGCTTGTTCCTTCTCCCGAATGGGGCTTTCAGGTCTGAAATACAACTTGGGAAGACAGCAGGAAAGGAGTATGAATCCTCTCAGCCACAAGTTCAGCCCCTGCCTTATCCATTATGATCCTCCTACAGCTTTTCCGGGTTATGCTACACCTCGCTCGGGAACTGCCACGTTATATTTGTAGGCTGACCTCCCTTGTAGCGCAGACCTTTGAATGTCACCCTTGAGCTGGGGGGTAACGCCCTGTCAACATTCTAAAATAATTTATCTAGGGTTCAACATCTCTGGGGTGAAAAACGCAGTCTCCGGCAATTCTCGTTACTGCAATTAATATTGTTGCTTTTCTAGGAGCCTGTGGAAATGGTGGGCACAGTATCTGGAAAGCCAGTCAGATATGGAATCTGCACTAAAATACTATGCGCTGGCTCAGGATTATTTTTCCCTAGTCCGTGTCCACTGCTTTCAGGGCAACATTCAGAAGGTAATGCAGCCTGCTCCCAGCTGCTTCCAGAGGGTTCTCTGCTGGGATGCGTATGGGCATGAAGTAAAGCTGTATGATTTCCTTTTCAGGCTGCTGAAATAGCAAATGAAACGGGGAATTGGGCAGCATCCTACCACTTGGCTCGCCAGTATGAGAGTCAGGATGAAATCAAGCAGGCTGTGCATTTCTACACCAGGGCCCAGGCATTTAACAACGCTATCCGCTTGTGTAAGGTACGCAGAGAGGTACATTTATGTCCAGAAGCACAGTAGGATTCCAGCCTTAGGCAGCATACAGAATGAAAGCAGTTCAAGTTTATGTGGCCATTCCCTCTTGTGTGTATGAGCTTACTGCTCGTACACAACCTGCTGTAAGATGCTCCTAATTTCTGCCTGCATCTTCTACAAAAGATGCTTCAATAAAGTCTTGGTTGTATGGGGCCTTGTTTTCTGGTATACCTCAGCAGAAAACTGCCTGAAACAAATTATCATTGTTGCAGCTCAGGGTTACTTGGGTTGGTATAGGTTTTACACAGAAGGGGGTTGTTGGGCTACTACATGAGAGTATAAAGCTACAGGCTTGCCAGAAGACAGAGTTATGAGATCTGTTTGCTGCATACCTAGAGCCAAATCTTTGCTTTTGAATAGGAGAACAATTTAGATGATCAGCTGATGAACTTGGCTCTTCTGAGCTCTCCAGAAGACATGATAGAGGCAGCTTGCTATTATGAGGAAAAGGGGGAGCAAATGGACAGAGCTGTCATGTTATACCACAAGGTAAATGTCTTTCTAGTAAAAAAATGCCAAACTTTAACAGCAGAGGAATATTAAATCAACTGTAGTTTTTGCTATATGTACTGTTTATTAGTAATTTCTTCATGGCGGGTAATGCTTTATTAATCCACTCCAGGGTATCCTGTAAACTGATTCTGCAAGTGCTCAGTCTAGTCTTTAAAGACTCAATTTTGCAGGCAGGACATTTCTCCAAAGCACTGGAACTAGCCTTTGCCACGCAGCAGTTTGGGGCCCTGCAGCTCATTGCTGAAGACCTGGATGACAAATCAGACCCAGCTCTGCTAGCCCGCTGTTCTGATTTTTTTATTGAGCATGCTCAATATGAGAAGGCAATGGAGTTGCTGCTAACAGCCAAAAAGGTAAGCTCCAGCTTCTCTGGTCCCTCCACCCACAGCTAAAGAGGTGCACAACAGGTGTGTACATGCATGCAAATATGTTTATCTTTGTTGGTAAACACGTACACAGGCACATCTGTAAGGTGTAAAGCTTCCTCTCATGTCAGTGACTCACGGGGTGGTAGCCCACTGGCTCAACCCAAAAATGGATTTCTGACCTTGTCTTATTTCTGGCTTAAAACCTACAGATTTTGCACTCTTAGGAAAAGAAGAACTCTTAATCTCTAAACTAACATATTTGGAGATAGGGAAATTATAACATCATAAGTGAAAAAAACCCCAATGCCGTCCCTCTTGTCATACCACCAATATAGTTAATGTGTATATTTTGCACCTAAACTTTTATGCACTTCTACCTTGCCCTCATTACGGTGTTGGCACCTCAGCCTTTACCAAAATGCTGGGTACTGAGGCAGTCCTGTACCCGCTCCTCTTTAATGAGCTCCAGGTCTTACTTTCTTCCATGTTTTGCAAGGGTACAACAGCTCTTTTCTGGACTAAAAGCTATTGCATATCCTACTCATAATTTGTTTCTACATGGGAAGTAGCAAAATATTTAACAAAATCTTTCAAATGCCTCCATCTATTTAATTCGTATTTGCTGAAAACCTTAATATAATCAACCATGCCTAATGAATCTGACTGGTATGGCTCTCAGAGAGTCACGTTCAAAGAGACAAACTGGATGAATCTTTAGTGCCACACTAGTGTCCTCGAAGAACAGGTGAGAATCAACGGCCTTCATGGAAGAACACATGTGTTCTTAAACAAAAAGATGGCATGTCCTTGAACAGGAGTTGAGGTTGGGATGCTTAACTACATAACGTTCTAGATAGAGCATCCACAGCTGCTAACATTTGTGCCTTCATGGAGATGATTTCTATAGGCTACACCACAAGCAATGTGAAGTATCACTACAGTGTTTGCAACATCTTACTGCTTTGCTTCCGTTAGTACCATGAAGCTCTGCAACTTTGCCTGAAGCAGAACCTGACCATCACAGAGGAGATGGCTGAGAAGATGACGGTCTCTAAAGACTCCAAGGACCTCTCGGAGGAGTCCCGGAGAGAGCTGTTGGAGCAGATTGCCGATTGCTGCATGAGACAAGGCAATTACCACATGGCAACCAAGAAATACACACAAGCAGGAAACAAATTAAAGGTCAGCCTGGATACAGAGCGGGGGGGGAAAAAAAAATAGGCAAGCTTAAGAGGCTGAGTCTATATTACCTTCCTAAGATTTCTCAAAACAAAGGTGTTTTGAGAAGTAAATTTTAGAACAGTCTTCATGCATTAGACTGTCTAGATGAGGCTCCCTATCCATCTTAGCATAGCTTGTGTTTTTGCATTCACAGTGATATTTTTCCTCTTCTTCCCCTGTGCTCCCCTTTCCATTGCTAGGCTATGAGAGCACTGCTGAAATCTGGAGATACTGAGAAAATTGTCTTTTTTGCGGGAGTTTCCAGACAGAGGGAGATTTATATCATGGCAGCCAACTATCTACAGTCGCTGGATTGGCGGAAGGACCCCGAGATTATGAAGAACATCATCAGCTTCTATACCAAAGGAAGGGCCCTTGACCTGTTGGCAGGTTTCTATGATGCATGTGCTCAGGTACAGCCCCCCTTCTGTCACTGCCAGAGGCATTTGGTTTGTTAGCTCTGGAGCAAGACGTTCATCTCATTTCTCCTCTGGCAGGTAGAAATTGATGAGTATCAGAACTATGAGAAGGCACAAGGAGCACTGACAGAAGCATATAAGTGCCTTTCAAAAGCAAAGGCTAAAAGCCCTCTGGAACAGGAAAGCAAGCTAACACATTTGCAAAGCAAGATGACCCTGATTAAGCGATTCGTCCATGCCCAGAGGTGACCGTGTAAACTAATGACCAAAATATCATACAAGAATAAAAGTTATACTACTACGTGCAGTTTAATTAATAACTTGCAGACTCACTTCTAAAAGCTGCTGTTACCTTTTTTCTAGCAAGGAAAGCATCATGTAATTTTTAAAAGTACTGTCAACATTAAAGATGAAAAGGTAACTTGAAATGTAAGCAACTGTATTGACCAAAGAGAGTGTAACAAGAAAGGTGATTATGAAATGCAACACATTAAAAAAAAACAAAAAACTTCCCTGTTCTTCAGATGACAAGCTAAATGCTCTCCCTCGGATTGTTAACAGTTTCCTTTTACTCTTTACTAGAGTTTACTCTGAAGATCCCAAAGAAGCGGTCAGACAGTGTGAACTTCTCCTAGCCGAGCACGATTTTGACAGTGCCATCCGTCACGGCGATGTCTTGGGATTTCTGGTTGAACATTATGTACGAGTGGAGGAATTCCATACAGTAAGTTAATTCTTAATTCTTCCAATCTACAGAGCCGGTCTTACATATACACCAGTGCAGATTGATATAGCATGGTTCTCTCAAACAGGAAGACATTCCACATTAGAGGCTCATTTTCAGGAGCTAAACTGCTCAGCAGGGTGTGGTAGACCTCAAGAACTATATCCATATTAATATATTTTTCATTTCATGGAACTGAAGAGAAAAAGAAAGCTCACAGAGCATAAATAGTGGTGGATTCTTAAACATTTATATAAGAACAGAAGGGTCTGTCTGGCTGCATATCTCGGAAATTACACTATACTTCATTTGCCACCTAGCCAAATAAAAGAAAATTGTAAAACTGCAGTCATCTGAGGAAATGGTGAATCACTTCTTCAGGGCAGAAGTGCCACACACACCAGCATTTGGACTAACCCGTAACCCGCCACTATTATGAAACATAAGGATGCCAAGTGCAAATTTCTCCAGCTGTGCTGATTAACCTTATTTTTAGCTTGTTATTTTGACAGTGCTACAGTTATCAGGAAAATGTAAAACCAGCTTTTGAGACCCCTTCTTTTTTAAACTGAAAAAGACAGAATTGACACGAGTCACTATGAAAGGTCATCATGTTAGCAAAGGCTACAATTCCTGGCTAAGCGTTTAGCACCCTTCAAACACCGAGCTCCTGTGAAGAGCTCAGCCACGCACTGGTTTTTTACAATTTGCTAGGACTCATATAGCATAACCCGTGCCCATATAGCGTAACACTGCCGTAAGAGTGAGTGATCTCTGTGCATTACTTTAGGCTTACCGCTATCTGGAAGAGATGCAGAAAAGAATTCCACCCGTGAACCTGAGCTACTACGTGACTCAGAAGACCATTGAGGCAGTGCACCGAGGAGTAGGCGTTCCTGTGAGCCGAACCCTGGCTGCAGAGCAGATCTGCCACAGCAACATGGAGAACAAATTGGTGGACGAAGTGGCTGATGAAGTGGAGGACCCTTGACAACTTGCACTTACCAAACGTGAAGTTGACTTTAATACGAGGTCATTTATTCTGTCCTCGTGAGGGGCCATATATCAGTGAACACATTGCCGTGACAAGGCTTTTTGGTTACCACCAATAAATTTATTCCTACTGTTTGACTGTAACAAGCAACAGTATTTAAATGAATATGTTATCTCAAACACTACACAAAGATTCACATGTATATCCTGTAACGAAGCCGGTTTTAGTACTTTAATAAATTGGAGGGGGGAAAAACCCAACAAGAACTGCATATTGTAACTTCAGGCCTTTTTCTGAGTACAAAAGAGAGATGAATAACTGAGGTGGAAACCCCTGAATTGACAAGATTTTCAAGTACAACTTTAATCTGCTAAGGTGCTAACAGATTGGTCATTCCCTGAAGTCAGAACTTCTGAAAACAATCTCTGTCCCGTTTGGGTAGGAGCTTGGGTACAAGTCAGACTACTCACCTACTGCAGAATGGAGACTTTCCTCAACCCAAAGCTTTTGTATTTAAATACATCATAGGGTCACGTAGGCTAGAACTACCACGTACAAAAATCTGGACTAAGCCTCAGAATCACAGAATGGTTGGGGTTGGGAGGGACCTGTGAAGGTCATCTGGTCCAATCCTCCCCGCTCAAGCTGGGTCACTTTGAGCCAGCAAAGCTTCTTTCTCCCTCTGAAGCTTTTCCAAACACCAGTTATGTTAAGCTACTCTGTACTAGTCAGATCTCAGGATGTAGATTTCTTCCCTGGCCCGAGTAGGACCATGAGAAGTGAAGCCCAACATTAACCAACCAAGGTTTTGCTTGCTGTTAAGCCTGTTACCCTGCCCCACAAAGGTGTACGTATAAAATCACTCTCACACATTTCATACCAACCAGCCCTTCTGCTTAGAGTGATTCTTCTTTTTCCCGTTTTGTGACTTGCTTCAAAACCTGGGGTGAATATTAAGTTTTTAAATTGTATGCTTTCAGGGAAGAAGGGTTGGGGGAGACTGTAAGGTGAAAATCTGGATGTTAGTTATCCTTTAATCGAAACTTATTTCTGTACTAAAATTACATAAAAAGAATCCCTGCTTTGTTCCCTCCTAACCACAGCACAGCTCTAGGTCAAGCTTTTAAGGTTTGGCACATTTTCAGAACTTCAGTGTAGCTATTCAGTTCCTACATCTCATCAGCAGTGTCATTTGCTTCGCCATGCCACCCCTTTGGACAGCAGGCCAGTGACTATTCTGCCAAACAGTGACTGCGAGGAGACGCGGGAGCCTTTGTTAGAGGCATGGCAGACTTAGCCCTGGGAGGTAAGTGCCCTTCTTCAGCTCTCCTGTTTTTCTGACAAGAAGTCTGCTATGAGATCTTCCCTGTATTTTTAGCAGAGCACTGAAACCTGCCAAGGTTATAAATAGCTGAGGGTGGGGGCTGGGGAGGTGTGGAGAGGATGGCAGTGCTAGCCTACCTTCCTGCATCTGTACACCCCGTACCGGATAGCAATAGCTCACTAAATTGGCCTCCACTACAAAGTCCAGATGTCAAGTCAGGTTCGCTGGCTTACAGCTCTGCACCCTTCCCCCCTTCTTCCTCTTCTCCAGCCAGGTGACTGCTGAAGAAGCCCCAGAAGTGCCTACACACATCCAGCTGGCAAGAGTATGAGGTAAAGGTCATTTCTTTTACCCTTCAGCTAGGAAGGGACAGTTCTGAGTTTCTTTTTCAGGTTCTCCATTAGTAGCAAGTTCTGCAAGGCCAGCCTCCTGCAGTCCCCATCTGGATCTTTCTCCATCACATCTGTAAAAGAAGCAGCCACTGTTAGTTGGAAAACGGGAAAAGCTGCCCTTCACCTAACAGTTCTCTCCTGTCTCACTGACCGTCACAACAGCACTAAGTGCAACAGCAAATGCAACTAAATCTGGGTAGACATCAGCACTTGCAGGAGTTCTGTTAGACCAGAAGGCAAAGATGCAGAAACCTGATCATTTTAAGCAGTGAGTTTAGCTAAACCCTGACTGTCACATGTAATAATGCTCAGTTCATTATAAAATCGCTCTCATGCATTTCATACCAACCAGACCTTCTGCTTAGAGTGATTCTTCTTTTTCCTGTTTTGTGACATGCTTCAAAACTCAATGCTCAGCTCATTCTTGTAGGCAGAAACAAATAGTCAGTTGGGTTGAAACACTATAGAAACTGCCTGACCTTGCATTCCAGGAGATAACCTCCATGCCAGAACTTGTACTTGTGCCCTTGAGCTACATGTAACCTTTGTGCAGCTGATCTACTAGCATGAATGCAGTCTGCAATTAGAAATCCACTTACTCAAAAGCCTAAAGCCTCCATTCTGCCAATTCGAGCAATCTAAACAAATACTCAGTGCTGCTTCCTGCAATCTGTGGTCACGCTGCCCTCCAAATGGGGGAAAGAAAGAGGCAGGCCCCAAGTTTCAACATATTCTCCATTCTGTTCTGATAAACTAGTAGTTCTTTCACATTTGATGCAGCATGTAAGGGAGGGCATGAAGCTGTTTCCAGCAGCTGTTATTTCAGGGGCCCTTAATGGGCCTGCAAAGTAAAAACCAGGATGCATGCAGGATGTCTGAGCAGAGGGAGCCTGGAAGAGCAGAGAGTCTGTGTAAGGATATCCTGTACGCACAAGCAGTGTGCTCAGAGTGCAGTACTGTCAGCCCAAACACATGACTCATTCAGATGGAGTAGGGCTATTTATAACCTCAGGGAGAGCTCCACAATGGTGTTTCCATACTCCCTCTACAGAAGGCAAAAAGGGGGAGGCTACAAGACAGATGAGTACAAGCTTGAAAGCTAAGAAACTGATGTTGGCACTGCTTCTAGTTGCCATGAGCATGGACTTGAACTGCTGCCACTGAAAGGGAGGCACGGAGCACCAGAGTATCGTTCAGATCCTTACATAAAATAAACTTACCTATGACACAGCTCTACAGCACTTGCAAAGGGTGGGGAATTCCCTCAAAGGCAGCTGCTGAGAATCAAAGGAACTGTTTCCTAGAAATGTTTAGGTATTCCTTCCCTCCCCCAGGAAAGGTTAGGCTACTCAGTAGTAGGTCCAGCATGGCATTAAGTCAATGCATAAGGGCATTAAGGCAATGACAGGCAAGCACAAGGTGGATCCTAGCCACTCTCCCCAGCTGAAATGTCCCAAAGCATCCACTAAGTAGACAGTACCGTGACAGTGACTGAAGTAGTTTCTCACACCACAGTGTGAACACCTACCGAGGAACAGTTCTAGCTACAGCCCAAAGGCTGGAGGGCAGAAAACGTCAGTCATATTCACACGATGAACTACAGCAATCTGCATGGGCTGTGATATAGTAACAAAGGATCAGATTTGTAGATTTCTGCTAAATGCTTCATAGATAACATTTTCTAGCCCACTGTTCCTCACTGTGCTTTAGCCATAGCAGGAGAGAAGTAGATGCTTTTAAGCTGAAACCCAACGGGGTGACCTCTCCTGGCCATTAGGCATGATAGTAGAAGGCTTGCACACTTGACAGCTCGTCATTTTTCCCAGCTACAGCAGCAGATCTAACACGCGACACCTCCTGTAAATCTTGTCTGAGAGAGTCATGAAGCACCAGCAAGTCTGCTAGCTCAGCACCATGATTTGGTCACAAAAGCAGATCTCTAGTGACTGACTTCACCTGTTGGAGCAGCAGGGAGGAGCCCAGTGCCTGCCTGTGATTGCTGCAGGATTGTTGGTAAACAGCTAAGAGCAAAGGCATAGCCCAAGAAGCTGTTGTGTTTCAGGAAGCAGCCCTAGAAGCCCTTTTAAACTGCACCTCCATGGTACGGTATCTGAGCAGATGTGGAGCTGAGTTGTATTCTTTAAGGTTTCTGAATAGCTCCTACAACGATTTCCCCTTCTCTACTGTACACACAGCACTGATCTTTATCCTGCTCTCATTCCCACCGGGATCTATCATACAATTTTCATGGAAGAGCACTACATGTAAAGAGACAGCTGTTACACAACCTACAGGCATAAGAAGATGCTACTAGCTCTGTTGTCCTACTCCTTCCAAACATAACTCATGAAAAACAGATTATGCAGACCTTCATGTTGAAAATCCATTTATAACTTTCCTGGAAAGGCTTTACTTGGTCATAGCAGTGTTAACTGCAGAGCACACCACATCACGGAAAAAGTACAGGTTTTGACCCCACAAGGCAGCTCTCTTCCTTTTAAAGGGCACAGAGCTCCACAACCTGCCAGGATCAGAGGCCGGCTGTGTCAGTGTCGCTTCCTGCCTGCTCCCTGTGGGAAGCCAACTCACCAAGAATAAGAATGGTGAAGGAAACCAACCCAGGGACTCACATGAGGCCCACTCAGAATACAGCGGAGGCTTGAGCTATACAGCACACAGCGTTATTTCCTCTTGTATTTCCAGCACACCACCATACCTGACCACCAGTTTGTGCAGTTCCAGCCTACCAGACCCACAAACCTAACTTGTGTCGATGCAAGGTGTGCTGGGCGCAGCATGCAAAGTCATTTGCTTTCCTAGGTGGTTCTTTCCATCAGCAATAGGAAGTTAGGAGATGGGGCCATGCTCTTCCTATTTTCAGCACTAATGAAACCCATCTTCTGTACACATGGTGTAAACAGGTCATACAAGCCTTGTGTGTTACTGCTGGTCAAAGTCACTGCCTGGATGTAATATGCAATATAACAATACTTTCTGCAGCTTCATGAGGTGGTGGGTGGTTGGATGCTTAGACAGAGAAAGGGGACACATTTGGGGGTTTTTCGGTTGGCCTGTAAGATGAGGATAGTCACACTTTGGAATGCCATATGCAGCTCTCAGCTTATGCTTTAGATACCTCAGTAATACATCTGCACGGCACAGTGTGGTCTGTTATTTGTCCTACACTTACAAGCAAGCAATAAATACGCTTATCGTGCAAATCTCTGGTGCACAACACTAGACATTACCGCTACCACCACAATTAAAGAGATGCTGCACAAAGGCCAGAACCAGAAAAACACTGATGTTACACCACCACACCTTACCTTCCAGCCAGGACTGAGCCTCCAGAAGCTCTTCTGTCATGTCTTCCAGAAGACGCTCCGTAGGGACGCTGAGGAGCATGGAGGAGACACAGGACAAAAGACCCTGGCGCACATACCTGTTGAAGACTGAACTGGTTAGAGTCTGCAGCTTCCTGCTCTACCTTGATTTCCTCACCTCAGGGGTTCACCAGTTTCAAATGCTTGTGATTACGATGACTTTTGTCATATTCCTACTGATGAGGAGTGTAATCACGCACCAGCTGGCAGAGTGGCCACATACAGAGCCCCTGCCATGCTGTGCCGCAGGGAGCCTGGCGTGATTCAGCGTCCTGTGCAAGTCTGAGATCAAAACAGAAACTGGATGTTTACAGCATTTTGGCTACATGTCTTAATTTCTTTCCAGGTTGAATGCTAGATTTGAATCTAAAGTTTTCTGAGCTCCCTGAGTAAATATAGATGAAACTATCACATGGATAGTCGCTCAAGAAATTTGCCTATAGATAATTCTATATATAACGACTGTACCTCCACACTAGAAGACACTAGCTAAGTTTCTACATTGAAACTTTACATTAAAGCAATGCCTTCATTACATATTCTTGCAGTAGTCAGTCATAAGAACACAAGGCTGGAAGAGAGGATAGAGTTAATGCATTAAGTTGTTGACATTCTCAGTCAGCTGCTAGTCTTGGACAAAGATAAGCCATAGCTGGAAATTGGCTTGCAGATGATCTTTAAAAATTAAAACATAAAACTACAACTCACGAGTCAGTGTGGAAACGCACAGCCCAAACAAACTCCATCAGTGCCCTTCCCATTGCAGTAACTACCTGCAAAACAGGATTATGACAGAAACACTGAATACCTTAAACATTCACACCAGCCCACAGAACTGGACCTTGAGAAGCACTGTTGTGAAGATCACGGTTACAATTCATTTTATTTTACAGATGAGGAAACTTAGGCAGTAAAGTGAAATCACGTGCCCAACTTCCCACAGAAGTTAATGGGTTTTCTATCACAAGCAGCAAAAGATAGTGCAAGGGTGTCTTGAATCCTATGTCTCTTTTCTGACCATTTTTTCCCAGCCCTTTTCACAACTTCTCAGCACGTGCAACTCAAACTTGCTGCCAGTTTAAGTGTGGCAAGCCTTAGAGCACACTGCTATTTCAGAAGGCACCTCTGAGTTCCCAGGCTATACAAGTCTCTCCTGCTATCTCCAAGCTCATGCAGCCTTTCTTACCACAGTGTTGACAGCCAAGTACATCAGGATTGCTAAAGTGTGGACTAGTCTTCCGAGGACAAAGTGATCTTCCCCCAGGAGATCAAATGTTGTCAAAGGCCTGCAAGTGCAAGATACACAGCCCTGTAGCAGCGAGACCAATCAGTACATCTCTGAACAGTCAGGCTGGTTATGCAGGGCAAACTGTCCCACACAAGCCTGAATCCCTATGACAACTGTCATTATACAGTCATTCCCAATTTAACATAGGCCACAGATCTTTGCTCTCATCCTCCCTTCCAGACCAGCAATATCCTCTACTCTTACAGCAGGTATCACTCATTCTACCAAGATGCTTTACTCAGAAAGAACTGCACACAAAAGCTAGCACCACTACCATACTAGAAACAAACCGTTACGACTGGTATTACAAGAATCAATTACTCAGCCTTCCTTAGGTAAGCAAAGACTTAAGTGATTGACAACGAACCCGTGTCCTATAACATCATCACAAGGACCAGTCCGGGTGACTCTGGGTGCCTCTGAGACAGAGGTAACTTTGGTTAAAGACTGCGGCCCGAGTTCCGTGGTTTTGTGTAAACCTCCCAAGGTGGAAGGTCAGCCAAGACAACTGGTTTGGTACTGCCAAAATCATCCACCTGTGCACCTGGTGACAGGTTATTCTTCATAATGTATCTTCACGTCTGCAGGCTCTTACATACTCCTGCCCAACAAGACTTCATAGGGTAAGTCCAAAAGACCACAAACCCCTCCCCTCTCTAAGAGTTCTGCACAAGCCAGGCATCAGCATGGTGTCACTGGCCTCCCACACAACTTCTGGGCTTTAGCCTGCTGCTGCAAGGCAAGCAGAACGGTTCGCTGGCAGCTGCAATCCCCACATCCCCAGGTGTTCACACTCACCTGTCGAAGTGCTGAATCAGTGGAAAAAAGAAGTGCCCAACAACAGAATTGAACTCATTTGGGCCAGAAGCCAGTTCCACTTGTGACTGACCCTGTCCAAGAGAAAAATGAAGTCTAGACGTAAGATGCAGCACCCTACTCTTCACCAGACACTGTCATGACCACAGTTCCTTGCAGCCATCCCACTGTCAGCCACTGCTTGTTTATATGCTTACAGCTACTAGTTTCCAGGCTGGATGGCTCACCTCCCACTTCAGATCCTCTCGCACATCTAAATATTTTGGTGCAATATAGCTCAGTAGTGCTGGGTTAGATACAAGAAACACGAATATGCAAGAGATAAAGGACTTCTGGAAAGCAAGTTCTCCAGAATGAACCACAGGGAAGTTCTGGGAACTGGGAAACTGGCATCAATTTATCTCCCTGAAAAATAGGAAGGCTTAGACAGTCCAGTCCAGAGGCAGCTGGTCTGATGGAGGAGGGTCTGGGATCCATGAGGTGCAGTCACAGCTCCCTGCGGTGGCCAGACAAGCTCAGAACAAGCACAGAGCAGCAACTATCCCTCAATGCAAGGCAAGGAGTTAAAGCTTTATTTTCGTCCTGCCAGGAGAGGACTACAGGAGTTGGTACTCTGCACTGAAAGATTCAGCCAGATACTAAGATAAATTTATATTTGAAGTTACAGTCTTTCCTTAGGATTGGGCCCAATTTCACAGGTAGTTTGCTCTTTCCGGATAGAACTACAGCACCTCCTAGTGTCCCTAGTTTTGCTTGATATGACATTAATTTGTTTCTGCCCTGGCCTCACCGAAGCAAATCTCTGGGTCTTGCTTTTGATCCTCTCATCAACAATTCTTCTCCAGTCCTTAGAACTGTCACTTCCAGGCAGGAGCTGGATACAAGGTTTTGGGGCACCAGAATGCTTGGTCTTCCCATGGGATTTGGGATAGGACAGTTCCTGAGCTGCCAAAACCAATACCTAGATTAAAAAGAGGGAGATTCTGTTAAAAAGGGGTAATCCCTGTAGAAGAGAACAACAAAGTTACCTTCACCCAAACTGATAAGAACAACAAGGGAGAAAGGCACAACAGGTTTAAAATTAACAGCAAGGTAAGTAACCCCCAACCAACCAGTTGGCTCTGAGGTACTGATCAAGCACTTGGTCACTTAGCCCTGAAACAGAACAGCAGCTCCTTCTTCGGACACAGTAAGTGAAATGATGTAGGAGTCACAGGCAAATTGATGTCTTTCAGAAAGCGAAGATACAAACAGGCTGAGGACATGCTAGGAGGCAGTGGCTTCTCCCAGGCAAATGATCATCACACATTTTGTAATCTGTAGGGGAGGATCGCTGTATAATTGGTGTGTAGCAGGGTTATCAGCAAGAGGGCAATGCCAGGCACAAATACTAACATAAGAGATCTCCGTGCTTCTGACTTCTCCGACGTGGAACAAAAGGTAACCCCATTACATCTCAGGGAAACAGCACTGGTGCAACAAAAAAACAAGGAAACTGGGAAGAGAAGAACACTTACATCGAGAATGTCCATGCGCTGACGAAGACTGTAGTTCAGAGCATAGAACTGGGAGGTCAAGTACTTTGCTACCTGTACAAAAAAATCAAGGCACAAAGAACACAAACCCAGGCTGGAAACAGCCTTCCCACTAATTCTAAAAGCAGTCTATTTCAGAAGTCCTGCTTCCTCTGTTAGTTAACTAGCCTCTAAGAGAAGGGAAGAGACATGCTGTGCAAATAGGGCAAATTCAGACACTTCCGCTTCCAGATTCTCCCAAAGGAAGTAAATGACAGATGGGACTTTGCCATTCTTTTCTCCCTCTCATGCAGAGGTACCCAAACAATTGCTACAGCAGGTTTGGCACTTTGAAGTAGACCTTACTGCAGCCTTTCAACACTTAAAGGGGGCTTATAAGAAAGATGGAGAGACTTTTTACCAAGGCCTGTACTGACAGGATGAGGTGTAATGGTTTTAAACTGACAGAGGATAGATCTAGATTGGACATAAGAAAGAAATTCTTTACTATGAAGGTGGTGAGACACTGCAACAGGTTGCCCAGAGAAGCTGTGAACATCCCATCATAAGAAGTGTTCAAGGTCAGGTTGGAAGGGGCTCTTAGCAACCTCATCTAGTGAAAGATGTCCTCGCCCATAGCAGGGAGGGCTGGAAGTAGATGGTCTTTAAAAGGTCTCTTCCAACTCAAACCATTCTGTGATTACAATCACTAGTCAAGTCTTCTTCTAGATAAGCCCTCTGCCTCAGCTTCCCTCTATGCGAAACAATCTTCCTGCAGTGCAACAAGTCCTTATCTAATTTGTCTTGTCAGGTGGACTCACACTAACAGTCTCCAAACAGTTCCACCAGTCTGTTACAGCTCTGACAGTTTTCTCTCTCCTATCGTTTCAGTCATCCATTGCAGATTCTTCATTACATAGCCCACCTCTGCATAAACGCTGTCAGACATGAACTAGCTATTCTAGCACACTCTGATAGCTGCTTCTATCAAGCTAGCAAGAGACTTCAGCTGCTTCAATTCTTGCCTGTGCCTCAACCAGAAAAAGAAAAGCAGTAAGAGGGACTCACAGGTATTGGATCTGTGGTTAAAACAGCTACTTGAGCTCTCTGACGGAACTCCACAAAACCTTCAATGCAGGTCTTCTCCTCCAGATGCAACAGTATTTTTGCCAGCTCCACGCTAACCTGCTCAAAAGTTGAAAAAAAGTAATCAAATCCCCGCAGGTGTTTTCTTTCTCACAGGATTTACATAGCAGCATCCATTTTCCATTTCTAATGTCTAAGCAAAGACAATGAGGGTGTGGAATACAGGCAACACGTCCATTACTTAGAAGGGAAAGAAAACACATTAAGCTAAATGCCATCAAGACAGATTGCTCAAAACATCGAACAAACCCCAATGCTGATTTCTCTGTTCACCTTCACTTTGGCTTTTTGGACAAGCATCGTGATATAGGAGGACTTGTCACTACAACTAATGGGTTAAGGGGTGCAATATCACACCCAAAGCCCATCCAGCTCAGTAACATGTCTGATGAGCAGCAGCACATTTCACATTGTTTACCAGACTACATCCCTTCCCTTTCTCAGCTGGCAGAGGCCCGTATCTCTGTCACCTTCAAGTGTTCATTAACAAGTAGCAGTGAACACTCATCACACTGGTGACCTTGTCCCAAGTTCCTCTCACCGGAGCTTTTCATCTTGACCAGTACAATCCAACCACTCCCTCAGGAAGACATTATGTTTGTACAAGCAAATAGGTAAAGTCCATTTGATTTCATCTCCCTTTTTGTTGGGGAATAACAATTAAATTCAATTTCAATTCAAATTCAATTAAATCCAAAATTAAAATCAACTGGTCTGTGGAATTCATGGCTGCTCTGTAAACTGCATTTCCAACGTTTTCTCTGCCCGGCACAAAGCATGGAGCTTTCTCTGCTTTCTCACACTACTAACAAGCTCTACTTGCATTTCATTCTCAGCACTGGAGATGCTGAATGCCATACTGTTGCCAACACCTTTGCCTCCTTCTTTGTTCCTTTGTGCTCTGTAGCCTCACCTCTAAAGCAACTATTTCCTCCTGTTTCCCTTCCCAAATTGAAAGCTTTAAATCCAGGTACGCATTAGCCTGGCCTGCTGCTCTGTTGGCATGTTTAGTCACCTCACGAGGGCAACGGGATAATCCTGTATTGCAGCCCACTGGTAACTTAGCTCATACTACTTCACCTCTCTCGTTGCTGCCGGATTCTTTCGAACCAAGCTCTCAAGAGCCTTGACTGTAGCTTCCCACTTGTCCACATCTTCGGATCCCGTCAGGACTGAAGGTAAAAGACAAAGAAAAACTATTAACAGAATGGTTATGCTTGGGTATATACCTCCAACTTTCATCTGCCAACAGTTTGTCTTGTTATAGGCAGGTATCACTGACCCAGTGCATGACTGGCATTAGGAAGTAAACTGAAATCATTCAGAAATTACAGTTCAACACTTGATCCCAGATTGCTGAAATCTTACAGCTTCTTCATATTAGCTCAGAAAAAATAAACCTAGAGATATCACTCTCCCAAACCAGTATGAAACAGACAAAGACTCAGCCCAAAATCTCCTACCTTCAATACAGTCTCGGATATACACGGGAGCCTTAATCTTTAGTTCTTTATCCTCTGACATGTCATAAGGGATGAGGTCGTCATCACTGTAAAAGAAATAAAGGCATGAGTTAGTCTATGGAGTACAGCTGCTCTTCCTTCCCCTGGCTATCCACACAAAAGGGAAAGAACCAGCACATACATTGTCATAACACCATCACTCACGCATTATCCAGAAGCACTGTTAAAGCCTAGCTTGAAAGGGCTCCTTAGGAAGTTCTGTGACCAGATCTGGACCTGGATCCTCCTGGTCACGTACAGGAAGGAGTCAGGTGACCCACAGACTAGAAGCTGATTCTTGAGATTTCTTTATATATTGGTAGAGTGACAGAATAAGACAGGTCTACTATTAAAATGGGTAGATAGATCCATAATTCCAGAAACACGTACCTATCTAAGTCGAACAGAATAAATACAACAGTTGTACACGACGTGGGCTTTGCCTAAATTATTAACTAACATATTTGCGTGCAATTTTCTACACAAAGTCCTACTCTGCTGCATACCACTCATATGAACAAGGTCAGTAAGCACATGATTTGCCAAGAAATGCAGCTATCAATAACTCCTTTCTCCCCACATCTGCTCTTAAGAGCCAGCCACTTGTTTTCCATTTCCTACCAGCTTCTTGCCCCCTACCTGTCAAGCTCAGCATCCGACTCCTCATCTGGCATCACAGGAGCTGCTGTATGTGATTTCTTGTTACTTTCCAATACCAATGGCAGTGCAGCATCTGCTTTCTCATTCCTGCTGTGAGGAACAAGAAGTATTAAAACCAATAAAGTAACAGTCCTCACTCATAAGCAGGAAACTACCCACATCATTAACCCTTGCTGCGTGAACAAAATGGCAGTTAATTTTTCTGCTGCGGTCTTCCACCTAGCTTGGCTGACACAAGCAACAACGTCCTGGGAAGGAGAATGGGGTGAGGGTAGAAGAGAAGCAGAGTCTCTCAGCAGAAGAGCAATGGATAACAAAAATTAAGCTAGCCAATTTGCTGTGTTCCCCTGCACTAACCTGTACCTAGGACTGCTAAGACTCACCTATGATAACTAGATCACACTGGCCTGCACCATACCTGAAGCTGTGAATGAAACTGAACAAATGGGAAAGAAACACCTTTAACCATTGCTAGTAGGATGAATACAGTAACTGAGAAATTTTTTTCTGTCCCTGTACCTATTTCTGTGGACTTTGGCATTGTTCTTTTATCTCTCTGCTTCTCAAATAGTTGTCTATGCTGATTATGCCCCTAAAATGGGAGCAGTAAATTTTCTGTACTCCACTGAAGTGCTGGACAGCTTCATTTGCTAATAACATGAAGTGCTTCGTTCATCTGCTGATAGAACTAAGTGCTTCAAAGAGCCTCAGCAGTTGCTACGGAAGTTAAAAGCACCAAAGAACCAGTCTTTAGATTGACAGATATGCTAGACTTTTGTCACAGATGAATGGGCTGGGGGCATATGGCCCAAATGCCAGATTTACAAGATGTGAACAGAAAGGCCCATTTGATTCTACCCAGGGACACATTAGACCCCTGCAGCATGGTTTCGCCACGTGCAGCTATCAAACAAGCAATTCTAATACATGCTACCATTTGAATTAGCAGTTTAACACAACTCCACTGCATTGTAAGAATAAGATGAATAATAACACTTAAGAATATGTAAGACACCTTGAATACTGTCTATAGTTCTAGTGTGTAACTCAAAAAAAGGTAGGAAGAAGGGCAAAAAGATGGCATAGAGATGAACAGCAGTATCTTACTCATCATCTGGAAGGCTGGGGACAACACAGAATGGTGGAGTCTGCACCAGAAGGGACTTCAATTCTCTTGCTTCATCATTTTCTTCATACTAGACATTCAGAATAACCGTTACCACACTCTATTTGATTGTAAACATGCCCAGCATTCAACATTTAACCCTTCTACTGCGTGCAAACAAAGACTGAATCATGAACAGAGGAACCCACACAAACCCCATTTGCTTCAATCACTGTGCTGCCAGCAGTATTGTATTTATGCTCCATAGCAATCTGTGCCATATGTAATCTTTGTTCCTATATTTAACAGCAGTACCTGATCAGACCTTGCCTGAACATTTAATAAATGGCAATGCGACATGAGGGATGATGCAGGTTTTTAAAGAATTAATGTGATTTAATCATGTAATTCTTATAAACTCTACTGGAAAGAGCAGAGCATGTAACCCCACATCCGACTTGAAAATGTCAACTCAGAGCAGGTCTTCCCACCACGTCCGGGACTGAATGTTCACTACTGGTTTAGGTTTGAAGCTCCCTCTCAAGTTCCATGGGTCAGATTCAGATTCCCTCATGCAATACAATAATCCTGTAGTAGTCCTTTATTATCACCAGTTTACCCTGAATTTACCATCAGGTTACACTCTTAAGGTCACTCTCAGCCACATGGCTATTGTCTATACAAATGTTTTTTGTAAACAGACATCCTCTCTTCCTGAGAGCGTTGCTACCTCTCCTTATTTCCAGATAATAAGTGTTAGAACTTGCTATAATGCCCTGGATCGTCTGGTTTAAAGCTTTTATTTCCTTTAAGCCCTGCACATCAGACATAAATTTCATTATAACCTTCACCTGAAACTTCAGGACAGGCCCATCAGTGTTTATTTTTGAACTGATGCTCTCTGCCACAATCATTCCCAGACACCGTATTTGTGGCAGATTGCTGTCCAAGTGGCATTTCACGCCCTCCATCATGCTTGTGAGAAGCTCTGAAAAAAACCCAAAACAAACAGTGCTAGAGAATGACAGAAACAAAGCTGCAGCCACTCACCACCCAATAATGGGTAGAAAGATAGGAAGGGCACATGCAAACTGTGATTTCTTTTTCTGCAACAGCAGAATTGCCTTTCAGCACCAGTATAATAAAGCCATGCTTTTTCATGGGATACAAAGTCAACAAAACATTACAATACATACTAAACTTGGAGTATTTTGGTCTCCACTGAAGCAAGAAAGGATGGTAAGTTAAGTCAATCTTTAGCTTGTTTTTACAGTGCTTCAAAGCCACTTAAGTGAAAAGTAATGTTTTGAGGAAACTACAAACTCTGACCAGTACAACAATGATGGAGGGAGAAATCTCCCTCATCACAGTTGAAACAGGCAGATAACACCAATATTTCTCAGCCCACACAAACTCAGAAAAGCATCTTTTCAACAGCTAACAAATAAAAAACAGATTATAAAAGTACAGTGCTATTAGTAAACAGGTCACTTATTCACCTAAAGAATTCATTCTAGAACGAAGCAAATGAATAGGTCCTGTAAGTCAACCTCCTCTCCCACCAAAAGCCACACACACACACGCGCAGAATTAACTCTAGATAACGGACAGAATTTTTTATTGCAACAGAAATTTTAGACCAGGACCCCAATGTGCTACGCACTGTTTGAATACAGAATAGGAGGCCCTTGCCAGTAACTCGCTATCCCTACTCACCTCACACTGAGGGGAGCAGAATGACACAGAGGAATGCACACAGATAGTAAAAGACCAACCAAATAGCTTTTTATCCTGATGTACTCTTCCCCTGTCCCCTTTAGAGCCTTACTCATGCTCCAATGGTAAGCCTATAAATTGCAAATCACAACATTCCTCTAACCAATCCTGAAGTCAATCCTTGTTTTCCTCTGACAAAACTTAAGGGTTCCTTAACCACTGTCCAGGGAAGAACCTTAGTTCAAAGACACGCTTCTCATAATTTAAAGCTAGGCACTTGTAATTATATCTTATCAGTGCTAGAGGATTCCAGAAGGCTAGCCCATTTGCCAAGATGAAGATGGGACAATTTTGTTTACCTATAGACTAAAACATGATGTTTTTCTACTCACAGTCAGACCTTCTGTTAAACTAATCTAACCCCTACTTCTCCCACTGCCACACCTTGTCTGCAGCTCTCAATTTCGGGCTCCTTCAGGTGGGAGAGGCAGATAAGGATGGCCTTGCAAATATACTGCTGCTGCTCAGGTGGAGAGTGCTTCACAGCACTGCTGCTGCCCCAGGTCTCCAACAGGTCTTGCAGCACCTGAATCACAGAATGGAAGTTGGCTTGAAAGGGATCTTTTCTACATAAAAACAATCTTCTTTTTGAAGCACGTTTTTGAAATGGCCCTTTAGTCTTCATGCTTCCCAGTGAACTTTACATTCCCTAATACAGAGCTAACTTTGTATTTCAGTGCCCAAAACATGCTGTGTTTGCCTAGCTGAGAATTCCACACCACCTTTGTATAATATATTGTTAAATATGTTTTTTTCATTTTACAAGTGATAAGTATGTTTATTTCTCATAAATATTATACACAAAGCAGTACGTACTATTGTCATAAAACAGTGTTACATGGTTTTATACGTTTTTAGGCCAATCTTATATACCTGCCAGTACTTCCAGATAATTTTAGAACTGGTAACCACTGGAAAAAAAACCAAACCAAACAGCAGAGACTTCCAGAGATAGAAATTTCGTAGAAGTTTCATCACACTGCTGACTTGGAGAGGGAAAATATCTGCATACCCACTAGGGAAAAAGTAGGTAAGAGAGATTCTGAAGCATCAACCATTTCGCACAGAGACAGCTCTCAAGCAACTTCATCACTTGCTGCCATCTGCCCAACCACACAAATAGGGGATGACAGAGGATGGAGGACATGGGACATCTGTCAGAATCAAAGCCTCATTAGTTTTGCTACTTGGGTGACAATTTACCAATTAAGTATGAAAAATTAATGCCAGCTGTGCAGAAAGTTTTTCATTTGCATATTAAAATTGTGATATGGTAGGGCTTCCCTCACTCTCATAAGCAGCAACAAAAGTATCTTAGAGAAGTACCAAAATTGTGCACCTCACAGACACATACACACACAGTATAACTTTTTCCATCAGCTACCTCACCAGCAATGTTACTTAACCTTACTTTGATCAATAAGCCACGCCGAAGGCTATCCAGGGACAGGTAGCCAAGGAGGTTCTGCAGCACTGCAGTCTGCAATGAAAACCAGGAGTCTCACATTAAGTCATGAGTCACTGGGCATAAAGTTGTCATCCAGCAAAGACAAGTGTGTATTTTCACTATGTTGAACTTTTCATTCTGAGAGACTGGTTGACAACATTCAGAGACAGAAAAGTAAGGTAATATGAAAAAAAGAAAAAATAACCAAACACATACACACACGCAGCTGCTGATGAAATACGTAGAAAAACAGGACAGAAACACAGTACAGTAATTTTACCATTAAAATACAGATCAGCACAGTCCCAGGCAAACACAGAACACAAAGTCTAGAGAGCATCTCTCACAATACCCTGTGGCAAACTTAGGTGCACAAGAAAGAAACAAACTGGCCCTTGTCTCACCTCTTCAATCTAATTCTTATCTCTGAAGGTGGGTCATAGCTTCTTCAGTCTCTTCTTTCATATTTTTAATTAGCTAGATGTTTCCAGCTCCCCTGAACACTGAAATTATTTGCCAATAACCACTTGGTTCCAGAAAAAGAAGAGTACAGTAATTCTGCTAGTCATCATCAACCCTGAGAGAGTACATGAATCCAGTAATTTCAAAGCAACTGTTCACCACTCCCTCTTCATTCCATTCAGCTGAGGGGATGTAAGTGAACAGCTGCATAGCTCAGGTACATGTGAAGAGACTGAGGGCTGATTTCAGAATGAAGAATCTTATTCAAGATGACCGTGAGCTCCGCTAAAAAACACACTGGCACTTGGGAAAAACATGCATTACTACACAACTGTTCAATGCAGAGTCCTTACCGTGTGGCCATACTGCAAAAGCAGGACCTTCTGGGTCACCACAAACTGAGCTTTCTTGTTTTTCACAACCAGGTTCCCCAGCAACCTAGACAAGACATCTGCCCTAGCAAGACATGTCAATAGCAAAACGTTAGGAATCCATGTAATTACCGTCATGCTGCTGCTAGTCATAGGAAATTCTGTGAGTAGCTTTTTGTAACAAAGTCTCTCAAACACCACTAAACTTTAAGAGCGAGTCAGTAATTGCAAAGAGTGTTTTCACTTGTTTTTTCACTGCGTGTCATGCTGCAGATCTCTAAGGAATGTTGCAGGTTCTACATGAGAGGGAACAATCAACTACTTTATCCCTAGAGTCTCTCTGGAAATGGCACTGTAATAAACACACACATACAACAGCCTCTTTCAGAAACTGATTCTGCAAGTATTTGTGAAAAAATTCCAGCCTTTACTCTGGGATCAGGGAGGAAAGCAGAGTTCTTACCCAGGTGCTCTCTGCACAAAACCAAGGACCACTGCTTCCATCCAGCGGTCTGGCACACATTCAACCAATCGCCAGCATATTCTTTGCCAGATGCAGTCTGACTTGGTGAGATCCGTTAGGCGAGGTAGCAAAACGCTCAGAATTTCTTCTGAAGTGGAAGAGAAAACAGTTAAGTACACCAGATGGACAGAAATGGTACAGTGGTACTCAAGGTCAGCCTGCAAATTTCAAGATCCCTACAAGATGAAGAAATACAATGTACAGTTTGCAGTTCTAAATTGCTCCTGTGGTAAAAACTAACCTAAGCAGCCTAAGGAACTTGGAAGTATTCCTCATCACAGTAAACAGCTAGAAAAATCTTTCCTCTTCTTCCCTTGTTACTTACTCCTTTACTACAGAAGTTAGCTACTTCTGCACTCAGTGGCTTCAAAGTCATAAGCAAAGCCAGACTGAAGGCTACTCAGGTGAGAGGGTTATTACATATGGGCAGTGATTTATGCTGGTATTTACAAGGCACTTTCAGACCACTGGATGAAAAGCACTAGGAGAGCATTTAACAGTTAGGCCCCAAATGGCAGGATAAGACTACTAAACCCATCAGTTTTTGAGAGAACAGATCACATTAACATGAGCTGACAGAAAAGCATCAACATCTATCAGATACATAGTTGAGTAGCCTCAGAAGGCAGAGAGCAGCCTGTACTGTCTAACTCACAAAAACCCCCCAAAGTATTAACTGGTCGGTCTCCCACTCCACTGATCATCACCACGGTCATCCTTTCTACTACAGTAAAACAGACTTTCCCCCCTCCAAAAATAGCATTGTAAAACACTCACCTTGTCTTCCATGAACACACACCTTCCCCAGGACATGAGAAACAAAAGAGATTGAGCAATCCAAGCCACCTGGAATAAACCAGACACAAGCTTAATGGGGATCCTCCAAACAACCTTCGGAAGGAGGTGCATACACTTCTACAAGTACTGAAGCCTGAAAACACAGATTAACTTTTTCTCTTCAAGCATCACCTCTTCTTCCCTCTACCACCTTCCTTCAGGCACAAAACAGCATCCAGTGTTATTTATACACAGTGAGAGTAAGAAGACTAAAGTAGCTCAGTCCCACTTTAACTCAATGGTAACAAAGTCACTGGTTCATTCAGTTCCATTTAAATCTTCCATACAATTCCTTCAGCGCAAGCCAAGTGACCACAATTAAGCTCTGGCAACAGATGACGCTATTTAACCACTTGTACGATTACAGCTTTCAGTGGGATTTTAAAAAGCCTCTGCCATCTTCCTCGTACCTGGTATATTATGCTTTTAAGCACAACAAACTTCAGCCTGAAGGATGAACATGAGATTCTGCAATACCTATTATCTGTATTTCAAGCACTAACCAAGAGGGTCCATACACAAAACACTTATTCAGAAGAGCCATCTCTACAGCACAGTCTTCTTGCAACCTTACCTCTTAGAGAATCAGAGATTTTCTGCAGCACCTGGATAACTGCACCACCCAGGAAAGGAAAGTAGTTCTGAGGGAAGAATATTGCTGGGTTTTTCCCCTGGAGTTTATTGCTCACGTGATCAGGCAAACATACAATCTTGTTGAGCAGGGTCTCCTGCAGCTCAGGTGAGCCAGCCTGTGCTTGCTGCTGGCAGACCTCCCACATCAGAGCTGAAATCCGTCCCTCCTGCAGGAACTGCTCCAGCACCTCAACGACCTCCCTCGGATGAAAGTTAGGGCTGAAATAAAGTAATCGGAATGAGTCCCTGCCCCTTTTAACTGATAAACAAAGATGCACAGTCTACTGTTTTTTTTGCTGTAGTCTTACAACTACAACACTGCTGCTCTATCACACAGAATTTTAATCAAAACCAGATTAAAATCAAAGCGATTTTAACCTCTCTGTATCGCTCTAACTTCCTCGGTTTCTAACATTTCAGGACATTCAGTAAGCACAGCTGAAGACAGTTTGGTGACCTCTGCTGAAAGCATCAGTCCTGCCCGTGGGTTTTAAAACGAAGGGACTGAGGGGGCCCGAGAGCAGAGCAAGGCCTCCCGCCGCTCACTCGCACCTCCCTTCACCTGCACACTCACGGCCCCCGTTACGCTACAGCCGGGGCACCCTCAGACGCCCCGCGCCTCTGAGGGGGACGAGCCCCTGCCCGCTCTCCCGGGTGACAGCAGAGCCCCGCGGGCAAACCGGACTGACCCCGGGGCGGCGAGGGCTTCCAGCAGGACGCAGAGGGCGAGCCCGGGCGGTGCCTCCAGGAAGCAGCTCTGCCACAGGCCCTCGGGCCGCGCCGCGCGGGGCGCCCGGGCCAGGCTCCGCAGGAAGGCGCCGAAGAGGATCCGCTCCCGCTCCCCGAGGGCGACCGGGCCTCCCGCCGCCGCCAGAGCGGCCCGCACCGCGCCCAGCGCCGCCCCGGCCTCGGCCTCAGCCCCGGCCTCGGCCTCAGCCCCGGCCCGCTCCAGCGCGGCCGCCGCCGCCCGCACCGCGCCCTCCAGCGCGGCCGCCGCCATGGCGCTGAGGGGGCGGAGCGGCCTCCCGCGTGACGCTAGGGACAAAGACCGCCCACGGCGGCCTTAAAGAGACAGGCGACCCCGGCGGCGGGAGCCCCGCCGGTGGCTCCGGCTCTGCCGCCCCCAGCGCGGGGGGTGGGGGGCGGCACTGGTTTTACCGTAAAAAGCCCCGGTAAAAGCAGCTGCCGGCCTCGCCGCCCCCGCGCAGAGCGAGCGGCTGCAGAAGGGAGCAAGCAGGCTGGCTATTCTCAACCCTACTGCTTTTATTCAATAGTCGCTTGTCCTACACAAGTACAAACACAACATGGCCCAAAAGGCTACAAAGTTATACAAAACAAAACAAAAAAAATCTTTATAGTATTGACTGTACAACAGGTGGTAAATTCTTTGTCTTTGCGTACACAACCCCGGTTAATCCAGCCAGCATCGCTGCCCCAAGCCTCCCTCTCTGCCTTGCAGTTTCCAGGGGGTTGATGCTCAGTCGCTAATTTGAGATTTGTAAAAGCAGAACCACTCACACCATTTCACTGAGTGGGTTGTTTAGGACGTTTTTACCAAAACCCTTTGAGAAATGGTGAAAAAAAAAAAAAAAAAAAAAAATCACTTACAGGGACAGCTATAAACCCGTTTTTAAGATTTCCAGCTTCTTTTCTAAAGTATCATGTTGAGTGGGCTGGACTGCTGTTTCCGTGACGATTCCCTGGTTAGGCAAGTAAGATTAAGAGCTTAATCTGCAGAAAGAGCTTACTCTGCAGAAACTAACAATCTGTTTGGGAATTGGAATAAAGCAACAACTCTGTATTTAAGTTTCAAGCAGATCTGGACTCCAGCTGCTCTGAAAAATCCTGTGCTGGCACCTAGAGATCAAGTTAAATGCCTCCCTGCCTTACTATACAGGGTTTCTGAAATAGCTCAAGATTTACATGCTTGTCTGTACAGCGTGCTAAGCATTTAGAGATCACCAAGCAGCAACCTGCTAACTGGAGAAATAGAGGCTGTAACATCCCTCCTTCCATTTATCTGGAAAAGATGTTTTTTTGCAGCCTTTAAAATCAAAGCCATTTTTAAATAATTTCAATTCAATGCCAGGAAACTAGAAGCCCCACAGCAAAGGCTATCTACTGGCCAGGAACTGTTGCTCTCTCCTCTTAGGTTGACTTCACTGACAGGATTATCTCTCCTCACCCAGACCCATTATAAAAAAAAAAAAAAAAAAGTACAATATTTAGTCTGATGGGATTTAAGTTAAAAAATAAAAAGCTGTCCAGTCTTTTTGCTTTATCGTGAGGAGTTTGAGCTAGAGCGGCTGCGATGGCGCCTTCGTCCAGGAGATCTGGATCTTGATCGCCGGCGAACAGGAGATCTGCGCCTAGGAGACCGGGACCTGACAAAGAAGAAGGAGAAAGCTTTCATTAGGAGACAAAAGCAACATGTGTCAGTAATTTGTCAGCTCATCTAGCAACTCTTCAAAAACATTTCCCCACCCCCCTCCAAAAAACCCTCACACATCACGCTAAAAAAGCTCCAGTGAAATAATGCCAGCTCCAGCGAGGAAAAAGGCAATTCAAACGTTAATTAGACAGCAGGAATATTCTGGCTACCCTCCCTCTGTTTCAGGAAGTTGAAATAAATGTTTAATATCCAAAGACAGACAAGAATCTTGTCTTCTTCCACAAGCAAAACAAGCTCATGTTCATTCTACATCAGATTCTCCTTCACCTGAAAGGTCAGCTGTGATTCCTGAAATAGTGGTATTCAGGGAAAGGATATATATAAGCCCTTTCAAACCACAGGAGCACTTTGTAGAAGCAGCCAGTTAAGCTTCAAGCTCTTCAGTACCACAATTATACGGTACGGTCACCAATATGACACCAAGGTTCCAGGCACGGAATATTAACAGAGCCTGAACAAGATAACAGAAGTTAGACTAGGGAAGAAAACAATGAGGAGGGAATGCCAAATCTAGCACGTGCCAGACCTCAGTAAAAAGCATGTTTAAAGGAAGATCCGCAGGCAGTGGATCTTGTGGCATCTCAACTAGTTTGCATTTTTAAACCTGTAGTTCGTAAGCTGTTCAGCAATCAAGTGGCTCAAACAGGAGCCACTTTCACTAGTAACAAGAGTTTAAGCAGATTTCCAAGACAGAGAAGCCCATCTAGATGCTGAGGAAGATTCCGAAAGACTTATTATCTGAACATGTTCAGGCAGCCCCAAGTTGCACAACAGGTGCATGAATGTCAGGCCACATCTTGGGGTCAGTGTACGCTGCTCACCTGGTGCAGGACGACTGCTTTTTGGTCATGTGCCCATTCACAGAAATAGGGGAGGGAGGTGCAAAGGCTTCAGAAAAGCAAGCAGCTGGAGCACGCTGCCAAAAGCATTCTGCCAGCCAGAAGTCCATTCCCACTTCACCTCAAGGCACTTATGCGGAAGGGACGCCAGGGAACAGGCTGTAAAGTATCTGACATTTCTGACAGACTGCATTCAGGGTGTGGACCAGAGCGGGTCACCCTGGTGCTAAGGAGTTAAGAAGTACAATCCAGGTTCAACCGATGCCCAAAAGGTGTTATGTCATCTGGAGGGGAAAGTCAAGTCCAACAGGATGAAACTGTCCCCATGCCGAGTCTTTCAGCGATGACATGTTGTGACAGTGAGAATGAAATACAAATTGTCACAGCTCTCACCTTCTCCTCATACGAGGGGGTGACCTACGCCACATTGGTGGTGGTGGCAGCATCCTCCTGGGTGGGCTAAAGCGTCTGGGAGGCGGCCTAGGTCGTGGTGCCAGCACAGCTGTGGCAGTGATCTCCTGACCATCAATCTGGCCTTTTTAGGGAATCACAGAAACAGGAAGAAGTAAGTATTTTCCAACACTAACATCGACGTATCACATTACTGCAACTCACAGCTTTCTCACAGCAGCTGAAACATGAATCAGCCTACAGTGCTATTTCCATCACCCACTCAGTGGTTATTTTGACAAAGTCCACATACATACCAGACTACTAAATCTAACATCCCATCAAGTTGCAGTTCAGAAGTTAAGCGGGAAAGATTTTCACAGAAACTTAAAGAATTTTATGATTATTTTTTAAAATCCCTCAGTTTTAATAGTTCTGTGATTTTTTTGATCTGTTCTGAACCACACAAAAGCCAAGCCCATTTGGGCTAAAAACAGACAGTATTTCAGATCTGTTCCCCAAAGGTTTCCCCATCACCTCTAACTCATTTTCAGATCAAACTCATCTGCTCCAAAGATTTTTAAAAGCATTCAGCCTCCTTGCAGCATTTGATACCTACCTCCATCCATGTGTTTCAGGGCTTTCTCAGCATCATCTGGGTTTTCAAACTCCACATAAGCATAACCTTTAGAGAGGTGTGGATTTAGCCTGTCAACTGGCATGTCAATCATTTTAATCTTTCCATACGTGGAAAAAATTTCCATGATGTGATCCTGCAGAGAAAGAACAAGTCTTAAGGACACAGACCACACTTACCGACCAGGTCTGGACAGCAGAGAGCAGTAAATCCACAGCACTAGATTAGCTTTAAATCAATGCCATCATCAGGAAGAGACATTTATTTCATTGGCCAGATGTGGAAAGGATTGTCACTGCTTTCTCTACTGTTGCCCACACAGTTCCTCCTCAGATTGACCCAAACTTTCAGTTCTAGCAGTGTTACTGCTGCATGTCAACACTGGCTACAAAAACACAACTAGTGTAAAGATCTTCTTGAGGACCTGGAAATGGAACTTATGCCCTCAGCTGAAAACTCACAAGGTGCAATTACTAATATTTTGTAAAAAATATCCTTTTTGCAGCACCCTAAACCTCTGAAGGCCTCTGAAGACCCTTAAATTACATTTTGGCAAAGACAACTGTTGTGGTTTGAGCCTATTCAGCAGCTAAATGCCATGCAGTCGCTCACCCACCCTCCCCCCACTTGGGAATGGGGAGGGAATCAGAGGGGCAAAGGGAGACTCGCGGGTTGAGATAAAAACAGTTTAATAACAGTAACAGAATAATATCTGACAGCAATATCAGCAGGTAATGTACAATACAGCTGCTCACCACCCGCCTGCTCCCAGCCAGCGATCCCCAACACAAAGGCCCCACAGCCACCCCCCCAGAAGTGGCCCCTCTCCCAGCCCTCTCCTGCCTTTATATAGTGAGCACAGTGTCACATGACACGGAATATCAGCCAATCGGGGCCCAGCCCTCCAGCTGTGCTCCCCCCGCCCCCCCACACAGGTGAGGGCACTGGGCCCTGGGGAGCCCCTGGGGTCTCAGGGGGCTGCAGCTCCTCCAGCTACTGAAACCAACAGGAACTCTAGTCCAGCCCCAACCAGGACAACAACTCAAACCAGCCCAGCTCTCTTCAGATCCTTCATCAAGAACCTCCAGATTTCCTTAATGCCTCCAAGGCAGTTTCAGCTTTGTCCCAGCTTCTACAGTTTTCTTCTTAGTAAGGCAGAATACATGGTCTGGAACACTGACAAAGCAGACAGACCTCTTCAGCTCTACAGAGTCTCAGAAGCCTGCACTGTATTTGACTCAGTAAAATCCTACCAAAATTTTTCTCACTGATCAATTTAGACACAAAGCAAGAATTTCCAACAGTGACCCCCTGACGGCACTCTAGCAACAAGTAAGTTTTGAGAGCTTTAGAAGAGCCACTCACATGTCCTCACAAAAGATATGCAAGCTTGCCATTACAGGGGAGCATGCCATTACCTTGGTCACGTTTCTAGTGAGCCTTCCAACATGCACTTTTGTAGGCCTGGGGGACGGG